TTGAAACCGAAGAGCGATTTAAAAACGGTACAAACTCTCCCGTCGTCTCTGTTTGTGTCCGGTCAGTACCGGGAAAACCAACCGGGAACTCTTTATTATTCTTACTCTGTTTTATCTGGAAGATCCCCCCCCCCGGTTTACTTCAGAGGGTCATAAAACAGACCGATCCGGTACCGGTAGTTTATTATTTTATGGTAACGGTAGTTAATCATTTCCACTGTCATCTGTTAACGTTATCTGTTAACGTTGTCTGTTAACGTTAACCGTTAACGTTATCTGTTAACGTTATCTGTTAACGTTATCTGTTAACCGTTAACCGTTAAGAGCAATAAGAGCTCCGGTAGGTTCAGGCGGGTTGTGTTAGGACACTGTCTGCTCTCATATTCAGTGTTTGTAGTTTATAATGAGATAAAACAGCAGTGAACACTAATGAGCCAAATATACTAACAACATATATATTATATTATTATATTATAATATTATATTATTATATTATTATTATTATTATTATTATTATATTATATTATTATTATTATATTATATTATTATATTATTATATTATATTATTATATGATATTACATTATTATATTATATTATTATATTATTACATTATTATATTATTACATTATATTATATTATTATTATTATTATTATATTATATTATTATATTATTATTATATTATTACATTATATTATATTATTACATTTTATTATATTATTATATTATATTATTATATTATTACATTATATTATATTATTATATTATTATTATATTATTACATTATATTATTATATTTTATTATATTATTATATTATATTATTGTATTATTACATTATATTATTATATTATTACATTATTATATTATTATATCATTATATCATATTATATTATTACATTATAATATTATATTATTATAATATATTATTATTATTATTATTATTATATTATTACATTATATTATTACATTATATTACATTATTATATTATTATTATTATATTATATTATTACATTATATTATTATATTATTACATTATATTACATTATTATATTATTATATTATATTATTACATTATTATATTATATTATTATATTATATTATTACATTATTATATTATATTATTATATTATATTATTATTACATTATTACATTATATTATATTATTACATTATATTATTACATTATATTATATTATTACATTATTACATTATATTATATTATTACATTATTACATTTTATTATTATATTATTGCATTATATTATTACATTATATGTCTGTAATATGGAAGCACTTTAATGCCAGTAAAATAAAACATGATGTAAATTATTAGTTTAAATAGATATCATAATCATGTCTTATCTCATTATTGTAATTAATTATCTTGAAAATTATAGAGAATAACAACTGTTTATAGCATAATTATACTAATAATCTTGTAATTACAACTTTTATCTCATAATGTTGACTTAAGATTAATTTTTTAAATTATTATTAAGTTCTTATGTTTTTTATTTTACTGGCAGAAATGTGCTTCCATAGTTTAATACATAATATTAAACAAAATGTGCATACATCATTTAAAACTGTTATAAAAACTAATGAAAAACACTGAAAATATAGGATTTTATCTCCACTCTCTAACTACAATTCAGCATTAAATATAACGATTAGATTCAGTCATCTGACTTTGTTTGTATTATTCTAACTTTTATTTCTAATTTAGACATAAACTTTTCTTTCCATTGAAAATGTATAATATGTTAATTACACAATCATATGTATATATATATATATATGCATATATGTTTCATCAGGTTTTCTCATTTCAAAATGAAACTCTGTTGGCTTTAAAGTTCCCTGAGCCCTCACAATATTTAATTAAAATAATTTTAACCTCTGAAAATAAATCTCAATTTATATTTAAATGATGAAATACCACCTGTTTACCACCCTGTGATAGAGTGCTATAAGTGAGTATATTTAACATAAAATTACATTTGAACTGCTGTAAACACACTAATACTGCATTTATTTATAGCGCACTAACCACTAACTTTATCAAGATAACGGCTCTTTAAGAGCTAAAGGTGCTAAAACTATAAAAACTATAAAAAGCAGCAGAATATGAGTGAACATTAAACATGAAACAGAATCATAATGAACTTTGTGGCCTTTAATTTACACACTTTGATTAATAAACATGAGAAACAACGAGTTGCTGACCCATGATGGACCGTCCTACAGCTCACTTACATTATAATATTATATAACACATATATATTATCATATATAGTATATATGTATGAATCTTCTCATATTTATATCTTTACATTTCTCATAGTTTCAGCTTTAATCACACTTTGCCTTGTAGGTCGGATGTCTTCCTGCTGCTGCTTGTTGATCCTCCTCTTCTCCTGCTCCTCCGCCCACAATGACTTCTACACCTCCATCGGTGAGTAGATGTTCCTCTTCCCGCTCTGTGAACTTTAATCTTCTTAAATCAACCTAAAATACAACCGTTCTTGTTTTTAAGGGCTCAGTTCCCCCAAATTAAAAACGTCCATTCGCCTCCTTTGTGTTTGTCTGGAGGCAAAAATCTCCAAACCACCAGAATTCAAATCAAAGAGGATTTCTCCCGACTGACTTCAGTGAACGTCCGACAGTTTCCCTCAACGACTTCCCAGATGGTTCTGTGTAACAAACCGTGTGTGTGTGCTCTGTCTCAGGTCACATGACTGACCTGCTGTTCACAGAGAAGGACCTGGTCACCTCCCTGAAGGACTACATCCGAGCAGAGGAGAGCAAACTGGAGCAGATTAAAAAGTAAGACGTCTCACTGTTAACGGTTGCTATGGTGACGAACACCATGCAGTGTACAGTGTATGTGAACGCGGTGTGTGTGTGTGTGTGTGTGTGTGTGTGTGTGTGTGTTCAGATGGGCGGACAAACTGGACGTCCTCTCTGCGGCGGCCACTCAGGACCCCGAGGGATTCCTGGGACACCCGGTGAACGCCTTCAAACTGATGAAGAGACTCAACACAGAGTGGGGGGAGCTGGAGAGCCTGGTGCTCACTGACATGTCTGATGGTACACACACACACACACACACACACACACTCATTAAACTGTAGTTAACAGCGCCACCAGTGGCCGTTGTAAAATAACTGACAATCATATTTAGAATAACGTTTCTATCTGAAACTAGCTCGCTGTTTACAAATCAGCCAACACCACGAAGCGACCGACGCCAGAGCCACACGGCGCATTTATTTCTTGTTTTATGTCCGTCATCCAGTGACACTGACTCCTCTGTGTGTTCTTCTTCTGTGGTGCGTTCAGTGTTCATCTCTAACCTCACCATCCAGAGGCAGCACTTCCCCAACGACGACGACCAGACCGGCGCCGCCAAAGCTCTGATGAGGCTGCTGGACACCTACAAGCTGGACACCAACACCATCTCCACCGGACAGCTACCAGGTCGGCATAACAATACGTACTCTTTAAGTACTCTTTAAATACTCTTAAGTATTCTTTAAGTACTCTTTAAATACTCTTTAAATACTCTTAAGTATTCTTTAAGCACTCTTTAAGTATTCTTTAAGCACTCTTTAAGTACTCTTTAAGTACTCTTTAAGTATTCTTTAAGTACTCTTTTAAGTATTTTTTAAGTACTCTTTAAGTATTCTTTAAGTATTCTTTAAGTACTCTTTAAGTACTCTTTAAGTATTCTTTAAGTACTCTTTTAGTACTCTTTAAGTATTCTTTAAGTACTCTTTAAGTATTCTTTAAGTACTCTTTAAGTACTCTTTAAGTATTCTTTAAGTACTCTTTAAGTACTCCAGTAGTAATTTAAGGGAGTTTTCTCCCCCCGTCTCGCCTGCTCAGGCTCTTCCTTGGCGGCCTCACACCGGAGCGTTCTGACGGTGGACGACTGCTACGACCTCGGGAAGGTGGCGTACTCGGAGGCGGACTACTACCACACGGAGCTGTGGATGGTTCAGGCCCTGAAGCAGTTGGATCAGGGGGAGAAGTCCGGCACCGTGGACGCCGTCAACATCCTGGACTACCTGAGCTACTCCGTCTACCAGCAGGGGGAGCTGGAGAGAGCGCTGGACTTCACCAAGAGGCTGCTGGAGCTCGGTCAGTAACCTATGATTGTACTAAACTATGCTCACATCAGAGAGTTACATTATGGTCCATGTATTGGAGGGAAACTACTTCAGACGGTCATTGACTCTAATTTTGAGTTCAAACTGTATTTTGAACGTATTTTTGTGATTTTACCATCAAGACTAAAAGATGTGAGGAAAGGTGAAAGGCACAAAATGGCTGCCTGTGGGAGAGAATATCCGGTAACCTTTCCCTGACGGTTTCAGGAGCAGGTTGATTATCAATGTACAGAAGAGGTGAAACACGTTTACGCTGCTCATGGAAAATAAAACTGAAACCTTCTCTCACTGTTTGATTTCATATCAGAGGACCTCACGTTGTCTTACTGAACATATTAACTTCATCTGACCCGGTTAGACCCGACACACCAACGAGCCAACGGGAACCTGAAGTACTTTGAGTATCAGCTGGCGAAACAGCAGAAGGCGGAGGAGAGAGGGGAGGAGGAGGAGGAGGCGAAGCAGAAGAAGAGTCAGCCCGACGATTACCTGCCAGAGAGGAAGAAGTACGAGCAGCTGTGCCGCGGCGAGGGCCTCCGGATGGTGAGGACCGAGACGCCTGAAATACTCACATCTGTTACACGTCTCCGAACTCACGCTGCTCGTCTTTTCTGTCAGACTCCTCGAAGGCAGAGCCGCCTCTTCTGCCGTTACTACGACAACCATCGCCACCCGAAATACGTGATCGCCCCGGTGAAGCAGGAAGACGAGTGGGACCGGCCCCGCATCGTCCGATACCACGACATCGTGTCGGACAAGGAGATGGAGAAGGTCAAAGAGCTGGCCAAACCCAGGGTGAGTCCAAATGTACACTCACAGTCCCTAAAGAACCCGGTTCGGTTCTGTTAAAGGTTCCCTGTGGAGTTCTTAGCAGTCTGTTAGAAGCTAACGTTAGAAGATCTGCCAGCAACAGTTGTTTCAGTAAACAGTTGAAATACTTCAGGGAACCTTTAACATGCAGCACTGTGGCATGCTCACAGTTAATGTGTCCTTTGTCCTGTGTTGTGAGTGGGGGGGGGGCTTTCATACTGACAACAGCACTGCAGCTAAACATCATGAGGGTCTGTGTTAGCGGGGGCAGTTCCCCTCATTACCCCACCACCTTGAGCAAGGCTCTTAAAGCCGCTGACAACAGAGCTAACGTTACACTTAGTGCTACACGATGGAAGAGGACGTCAGTCTGCTGCTGGTGGTGGGAAACATTCACACATTAACAGAACAAACATTTAACTGGGATTACAAGAAGAGTACTTTTACTCAAGTACTATACAAGTACTAGTTGTACTCCACTACATTAATCTGACTGCTGTAGGTTCATGATGAGTTTATAGAATACAAACCACTGGGGAACTCCTGAGCTGGCTAACATATCCACTCAGATAGCAACCACACTGACATTAAACAATAAAGTAACCTGCAGATGAGGAGGCAGCCAGATCAGCCCTGGACTCTGGATGAAGATACATAGAGACACCATCAACTACATCATAACTGATTAATACTAAACATTATACAGAAAATGCCTCGTCCACGTACATATATCTGATTGATAGACATCTGATTGATAGACATACATCTGATTGATTGACATATATCTGATTGATAGACATATATTTGTGCATTGTAGAGTTGGTACTTGAGTAACTTGTACTCCTTCCACCACTGATGGTGTGTTGAGTGTTGACTCCGGGGGTGTTGTGGTGAACATATGAAGCGCACTCAGTATAAATGAGTGTGCCGTGTAACTGTCGGCCGATTGGCTCCACAGCTGCGTCGAGCCACCATCTCCAACCCCGTAACCGGTGTGCTGGAGACGGCCCACTACCGCATCAGTAAGAGGTAAGAGCCGTCTGAGCAGGAGGGACGTCTGCTGGGTCTGTCCCACCCTCCTGCTGCCCTCCCCCCTCTGTGTCCCCCGTCTGTGTCGGCTGTCCTGACAAGAGCAGAAGTAGAAAATGTTTACTCGAGTGCTGCCGAGTATTTTCCAGGAAGCCTTAAGGAGTCTAAAAATCTAATAATCTGAATTTTATGCTTTAAAAACTCTTTAAAAGTCTTAAAAGGTGACAGATAAATAAAATTACTTGTATAAAGTTGTCATTTAAATGTGTTTTTGGGATAAATTAGAATTGATTATGCTTCAACAAACTGAAACCGATACAGAACCAATACTAATTTAACTTAATATCCTTTGTACTTCTTTATCCAGTACGGATGTAAAATAGGTGTTAAATGATATTCTTAATGGTCTGAAAAGGTCTTAAATTGAACCCGTTGAAACCTTTTACTCCACATCTACATTTATCTGACGGCTTTAGTTTAAATTGTTTTATTTTACCTTTATTTAAGTCCTATTGAGATCAAAAAGCTGTTTCACAAGAGAGACCTGTCCGAGGTAGCAGCGGTACACAATCACAACATATTAAAATACATGTTATACAGAACAATTCACACTAAAACACTTTAATTTATAATATTTAATTAATCAGTGGGTATAAATGTGTATTCAGATAATTGAATGCCCGAGGTGCATAGTGAGAAAGTCTTACCCAGATCTGTAAAGACCATACACAGTTTATATAGCGGACATAGAGCTTCCAGGAAGTGTCTTAAACCTGCGTTGTAATGGCCAGCAGGGGGCGCTCCATTGGCTGCAATAACACACTGATTATTATTATTTAATTACAGCTGAAACCATCAGTCCATTCATCAATTAGTCCACAGAACATCTGTTTGAAGTCATTTCATGGTTCCACTGATAATTTCTGACCAAACATCTTTAATTTATACAGACGTATCGACCTGAGCCAACCTGAAGGGCTCGTTTTAGAGGTTTTGGAGATTATCAGACGTTCTGCTCTTGCCAAGAAACAAGCTGCTTGTTTCTTCTGTGTGAGGGAGGAAAGAGTCAAAGACGTCTGTTTGAGTCTCGAGAGGCAGCAGGAGATTCTCTTAATGCTTTTCTTTATTTCTGCTTTTATTTCAGAGCCTGTATTTATCAAACTGTTCTTATTAAATCCTTCAAACAAATATGAATTCCATTGTTTATTATTTACTTATGATAAATAACACATTAGTAAAAGCAACAGGTTTCATTCAAAAGTTTTTATTTTATATTTTATCAAAAGTTTAAATTATGAGATTAAAAAGTCGTCCAACAGCGTGGGAGAAGCAGTGATTGTTAAGGTGGAACTGCTTTATTCAGTGTGTTTAAGGTGGAACTGCTTTATTCAGTGTGTTTAGTGGTTTTAATCAGCGGGTCTGTTTGTGTTGGAGAGGAGGAGACCTCTGTGGATCATTGGGCTCCCAGTAGAAACCTCCTGAACCATGAACACTGAAGGAATCCTAACCGGGAGAAGCTGACTGCAATGACGCCAATGGTGGTGAAGACTACAACTCCCATGATCCCACGCTGCTTCACATAAAGTCAATGAAGTTTTATAAATACAGGCTTTAAGTAGAAGCTCCTGTTGCCTCCTGCAGCATCTCTGTGTCAGCTAGTGACCTGTCTCTCTCTCTGTCTCTCTCTCTCTGTCTCTCTCTCTGTGTAACTATAATGTGATTGGTGAGCTAGCTCAGACGTGCCACGGTGCATGACCCTCAGACAGGCAAACTGACCACGGCCCATTACAGAGTCTCCAAGAGGTAAGAGCTGGACGGCAGCGTCACACAGAGACGTCACCAGATCATCAAAGGTTAAAGAGAAAGTCAAATATTTTAATAATATACTAAATATTTCTCTCTGAAGTTGTGAAACACTGGATATTTTTAACTCTTCAGGCCAATAAAGATCAGTGATTAAATGGTTTATAACACTATGATGGAGCAGATTAACACTCAGTTTATTAGGTACACCGGACTGAAGCTACTCTAATACACTGAACCTTTTCTATCAGCCAGTAAACCGACTATATTACCGACTATAAATCTGGTTTTACAGTGTAATCTAAAGAAAGTGCAGTAAGTCTATATGTCAGCACTTTTAAAGTTTTCTTACACTACTTAAAATCCAGAGGGCTTTGTGACCCCCCTGTGAAGCTTTGGCGACCCCTAGTTGAGGCCCCGACCCTCAGGTTGGGAACCACTGCTCTAATTCAATAATAATAAATCCGCCTTTTGACCTTCATCATAACATTCACACAGTCTTTAACATCAGACGTTCCTCTGGATCTCTCTCTTTCTGTTTCCTCCTCACCCTGTTTTACTTTTGTTAACTCGTCACAGTTCAATGACTTCATCTTCATACTGACACACTTTGCTCCTCCTCCTCCTCCTCCTCCTCCTCCTCCTCCTCCTCCTCTCTCAGCGCCTGGCTCGGAGCGTTTGAACATCCGGTGGTGGACAAGATCAACCAGAGGATCGAGGACATCACCGGTCTGGACGTCACCACGGCGGAGGACCTGCAGGTAACGCTCACCGCGGTTTCTACAGGAGCCTGGAGCGGACAAACCGAACACTGGCTCGTGATGTGGTGTTCTCACCCGTTCTCATTCCCAGGTCGTCAGTTATAGACGCGAGAGGTGTTCAGTTAGCCGTAATCTGAAGCCAGTAGATGCCAGTAAATCCTACACACTGCTCCTTTAAATCATTCACTGCCAGACACAAATGGGTCCTAATGTTTATAAAAAGATCTAAATTATCTTCAGTGCTGTTCATGGATCAAAAAAGTTCAACACATTTCAGTTCGTACAATAACGTTTTTGTGGTTCAGATCCAGTTTCCTGAAGAGAGGAAGTAAAAACAGACGGCACAGAGCTGATTGGCTCTCATGTTTTCTGTGTAACTGTAATATTTAAGATTACAGACAAACATAAAGTCTCTGGTTGATAACAACAATAAACTTTATTTAAGTATCCAAATGTGGTCTAAAAACTAACTCTTTATATTATACTGTGTTATATATAATATATATATATATATATTACTGTGTTATATATAATCTATTCTGATTCTGATTCAGGCTCAAACTTTAATGTGGTAACGTTTATATTTCATGCAGGTGGCGAACTACGGAGTCGGAGGACAGTACGAACCTCACTTTGACTTTGGGCGGGTAAATAAAGTTTTCTTCTTCTTGGTTGGAGGAACACAAAGAGCCAGAAGTATGTGGACACCTGAACACTGCAACAGCATTAGTTCTAACTAAGATTTATTATTTATTTATTATTTATATGGTGTTTGATGCATATTTGCATAAATTACAAAATAAAAGGTGGAAATATTCTACTTTACTTCGTCATATATCAAAACATTTAAGTAATAAAATAAATGTTTTGGTGTTTTAGTTGTCAGATTAATCTATAATAAAATATTATTAGCAGCAGTAATACTATTACTTATTAACAGTATAGAACATAAGTTTGTACCAATAATCACAGTTTGTATAAAGTATAGTGATATAGCTCACATTAATAAGATCCTTTACTTTGTTACTCACTATTCAATGTTGGAAATAATCATATTTATTGACTGTCAAACATTATGCAAATAAATTGTCCCTACAAACACAAAACGACCACCGGCTGATATTTCCTTCCTGTTTACGTTTCCTTCCTGTTTATCAGTGTAATCGTTGTTGTTTTGTATTTTCAGAAAGACGAACCAGACGCTTTCGAAGAGTTGGGGACAGGAAACAGAATCGCCACCTGGCTGCTTTACGTCAGTATGAATCCCTGTGTGTTGATCTTATTTTGAAAGTGTCTGTGTGTTGATCTTATTTTGAAAGTGTCTGTGTGCTGCTGAAGTTGGGCTTGTGATGGATGAACTGTGTCCTTCATGCTGCAGATGAGTGATGTGCAGGCAGGGGGCGCCACAGTCTTCACTGATGTAGGAGCTGCTGTCTGGCCCAAAAAGGTACAGTGCTGCTTTAAAAGGTCTCTAACTTTTTCTTTTTTCCTTTTTTATTTTCTCCTTTTCATGTTTTATATTTTTATATTTTAATATTTGTATGCAGTTGTTCGGTATCTTGTGTTGTTTGTGTTAAAGTCAGTATCAGTGTTTGTATGTCCTCTGTCTGTGAGTCTCCTGTCCTCCAGTATCTGTCCAACAGAGACAGGAAGTCCTGTTTTATACTAACTGCTGTTAGCAGCTAAGCTAACTGACCAGGAGCCAAACCCGGCAAGAAAACCACCTCGATGCTGGATTCCCTGTCGGTCTCTGAGATTGTGTTTGGTCCCGGGTCCGGCTTCCTGTTTAACTAGGTAAATATGAGGAAGCAAACAGAACTTCCTGTCTGTGTCACCAGGGGACGGCGGTGTTCTGGTACAATCTGTACCCCAGTGGAGAAGGAGACTATCGGACCCGACACGCTGCCTGTCCGGTTCTGGTCGGCAACAAGTGGGGTGAGTTCACAGCACGATGCATAAACTGATATTTATAATTATAATACATTATAATTAGGGATGCATGATAACTTTTTTTTAAAACCAATAACCGATAACGTCCAGCTCCTAAAGGCCGATACCGATAACACACACATATACATATATATGATCATGACATTAATACTATGAACAAATACTTTTG